GCCCTAACCACCTGGCCATGCCGGGCCTTTTTTTAAGTGTGCCTTAATATAAGATATGGTTGTTGTATTAAACTTTTTTTTCTTTAAACAAACAACCATAGCTAAATATATGGAGCTTAACCCGCCTTTTATATTATGTAGAAAATACTTGCTTCTTCATTGCTGCTGTCCCAGCGCGCACGAATGGTTGCTTTGTCTTTTATGTTATACAAGCAAAAATGCCCATCCCCAGTGCCAGGAAAAGTTAATCTATCAACTTAACAATTTGCTGTAGAATATCCTGCTTGCAAAATAAAATTTGGCATCAACATTATTCATGCTGATCTCCCGTCATTTCAAAAGTGAATGTTGAGTTTTGCCTGCGTGCACAGCTTTTCGAAAGAGAGAGACAGACGAACGTTCGGACAGACACCACGGTTCGCAATTTATGTAAGATATATCTTTGCTCCTCCGTTGCTGGTGTGCTCTAAATGTTTATGCTCTCTTGTATAGTTGGAAAGAAACGGCGAAACGTCAGTGACAGGAGAAGAGCCACCTTTACTGAGACTTTGAGTAGCCTCTACACCATAGTAATTTTTTAATGTTCTTATGTTTCTGTGTGTGGTTGATTTTTGAATCCCTCCTACATTCGATTTACAAAACGACTAGAAACTTTGCATGTATACACTACACCCCACAGAAACGAATAAACTTATTTTAAAAGAAGGCATGAAAATTGGAGATCAAGACGGTTTGGGTAGCTCTTGGGTTTGACTGAGTAAACTTAATTGAAAAGTAATGTTAACACCTAAGGCGGTACTGTTAAAAAAAAAAAACGTTAAATTTATTTCTTGCCGTGCCTTTGGAAGGCACATACGACTGGTGTTTTTGAACTCCGGTTTCAAGTGGCACAAACGGATGAAAATGGTGACCCCCTCCTGGACGGCATGCCAGGTCAACCCTCAGCTTACAGCTGGTACCAATCATGCAGCTGAGTAGACTGGAATAAGTAGGATAAAGTGTCTTGCTCGAGGACACCTCAGCATGACGCGGGTCACTTTCGAACTTGCAACAATCCGACTACGAGTTCAAAGCGCGAAGCTTCCCCGAACCGTACAAAGCAATATGAGGCCAAAGAGGTTTTGGGACTCAAAGGACTAGATCTAGGGATGTACATTAAAATTGAATTGGACAAGTGAGGAATCGTGGGCGAGTGGTTAACGTGCTCAGTCTGCGAATTAGGAGGTTCATGGTTCGCGGCCTGTTACCACAAAAACATGCTACACCTTTTGGGCCATGGGTGTGGTATAAAAGTAACAGTGCTTGCTGCTTATTAGCTGTCTTCCCTTTAGTCTATCAGTTCAAATTAGGGACGCCTATGCGCAAAGAGCCCTTTGTATAGGTTTGTGAGAAAATTATGAAACAAACAAACAAATCGTTTGATAATAAATACTTCCCAGTTCTCTTACCGAAACCGATACCACTATCCAGTAACCCAAATCTGTTGACAATTAGGAGCTGTACCGAGCAACGTCCTTGGAAAACAACAAGTTCTCAGTTATTTACAGCTGCTAGCCTACTCAGCTCTAACTCACTCTCTAACAACTTCCATGTTGCTGTCACAGCTTTCTGGAAGTTCATTCAGCGTCTTTAAAACATGCATGAATTGTTATCGACTGCAGGTACGGCGTATGTATACAAACTAATTATGTACAGCAGTAGCATCAGTCACACAGGGTTACATTATAAGTTAAGTAAGTTTGGCCCGGCTTACCCGTTTGTTTCTAAGTACATTTTCTTATACGATCCGACATCCTTCAATAGTTTCTAAAGATGTTTTTTGCAACATTTAATGTTCAAGTAATTGTGCTTCATTTCGGTTGCCAACAATGAGCTAACAACTGCATGATGTTAAACATGATTTTCCCAGTCAACAAGAACCTCTTTGTCAATACCCATCAGTATAAGAAAAAAAAATGCAGCTTAGATATAACTTTTAGTTTCTTTCAAGCAGGCCCCTAGCGGTATGTCTGCGGAATTACAACGCCAGAATCCGGGTTTCGATACCCGTGGTGGGCAGAGCACAGATAGCCCATTGTGTAGCTTTGTGCTTAATTAAAAAACAGACTTTCAAGCAACCCTACTATTGATAAACCGTAGCGTAAGCAACAAAACAAAACAAAAAACAAAAACAAATCAGCCTATTAAATCTATAGATAACCGGTTTATGTGAAGGCCATCCACTTTACTTACATGTTAAAACAGTCTTTCTTTTTTGAAGTAAAGAACTTTAATAATTCACTTCAGCTCCTCACTTCTACTTCCACTCACGTGTGACGTCATTCAGTGATATAATGCAGGACACCGCTAGTCGTTATGAAATCTTGTTTTGGTTTTAGAGAAATATTCAGTTACATGAGCTAAGGTCAACAATGAAAAAGAACTGTGACTGGTTCGTGCCGCTCTCGTTTTAAGTTTGCATCGTCTGTAAGATATAAAATGAAAGATGTAGAAGGAGTTGTGTACAGTTACTGTCGTTCTAGAGTCCTGGATATTACATAAAAATAAAGAAAAAGGCTTCCAAAAATGGTTGTAACTAGTTCAACCATTAGTGAGGTTTCATTAATGTTATAGTCCAGTGTTTCTCCAACTTGCTGACAACTTGATTTTTTTTTTTAATGATAGAGAACAACAATGGAATATGTATATTCCATTGTAATTTGTGGGTCGTGGGTTCGAATCCCCGTCCCCACCAAACATGCTCGTCCTTTCAGCCGTGTGGGCGTTATAAAGTGACGGTTAATCCAACTATTCGTGGTAAAAGAGTTGGCGGTGGGTAGTGATAACTAGCTGCCTTCCCACTTACACTGCTAAATTAGGGACGGCTAGCGCAGATAACCCCCGCGTAGCTTTGCGCGAAATTCGAAACGAAATATTTTAATTACCTATTGTATAATATGAAACGCTATTTTTTTCTGCAACTTTAGTGTTAAGATTTTTACACAAGTGTCGGACTAGCTTTAATATATATGGTAACGTTCATTAGTTAGTTTTATTTCTTATAAAAAGATGGGGACATCTCATTCCTGTCAAATGATATGGCAGTAAGAATGATATATGTTACTTTGATTTACATCACCCCTCGTCTCAAGCAGAGTCCGTTCCCTTCTTCATGACCTACTATGCTTTCTAAAGAAGAGGCCTCTTGCCGTGAGTTGCGATTACATTGCGTAGATGCGAAGCCATCAGATATAAATTTAATGCCAATCTAGTATAAGACTCCTAGAGGAGTTAATAGTTTCAAAGACCTAGCGAGCGTTATATGTTTAAAAACAAGCAATTAAAACCAGTTAAAGTGAAGAGAAGGCTTGAAAACCAAAACTTCAAATCAGAAAGTCTTGTTCACTGTATCGTGACGATACTGCAACAAATTATTTTTTGTCGGGTAAAATTTTGTCTTTGACAGATTTTTTTTTTATATCAATCATTGTTTTTGTGAGTTATTAATGGATATTATATTACAGGGTTTGTGATGCTATTTATTTGTTCAGTCTTGCACAAATAAACGAAAATTGAATAGCGCTCTTAACGTTTGGAATTTGATTATATATATATATATATATATGCGTGTGTTTTTCAAATGTTTATGTTGTTTTTTATTAAGCACAAAGCTACACTAAGGGCTATCTGTGCTCTGCCCACCACCGGTTTCGAAACCCGGTTTCTAGCATTATAAGTCCGCAGACATACCGCTGTGCCACCAGGGGGCGTTTTTCAAATGCTAATTTAGCATTGATACCAATATTAAGGTGCTATCAAGTTTTGTTTTTCACGAAAACAAGCTATCTCAAAGGTGTATAACGTGTTTGATATTTCAGTTTTTATTTTCTTAAGATATCTATTCATTGGATATCCATATTAATTTTTAGTGGTTTTCTCTATACTTGTATAGTCATTTCGTTCTTTCCACCCTTCCTTTGTGTGTGTGTTAAAGAGTACATGCCGCTTTTAAAGCTCGTGAGTCATGTGGTTTCATAAGTATAACAAAAACAAAATATACCATTTATTTTAGGTTATAAGCCATTTTCATGATATAAAGGATATATTTCATCTATTATTAAATTTTAAATCAAGAAGTAATATATGTCAAGTCAACTCCCGACTGCGGTCCTGTGATGTCACACTCTGGATTCGTTTAGCGCTGTTTTCTGACCTTCGGAGTCACTTGTGTTAAAACGATTTAATGCGTTTGATTTAGGCCGAACTCCGGATTCGTTTAGTGCTGACAATTGACCTTGAGAGTCGCTTGCGTTAAAACGATTTAATGCGTTTGATTTAAATTGTTGTTCAAGAGGTTTGCAACACGTGAAAAAAAAAAAAAAGATTTGTTTGTGTGCTGATGAGAGTTTAGCTTGAAACAGCGAGGATTTGATTTAGCACGGTAAAACTGAAGTTGAATTAGGCGGAACGTAAAAGTATGCTCATCAAACTCGGAATAACTGTTATGGTGATACATACGAAATATCAAATACACCAATGAGAAACCAAAAAGAAAAAGAAAAAAAAACTTATTAACATACGAGAAAATAGTGGATTTTGTTTGGACACGTTCCACCAATCGAAAAATCAGGAAGCTTCGATATTACCCGCAAAACAAATTGTCCATTATACACGAACTGATTATTGTTGAAACTATATATTAATTATAATCGAATTGGAAACAATGGACAGTTAATTAAATCATAAGCGTCCTAAAAGGATCTTTTAAACAGAAGGAAAGGAAAAATGCCATGAAATAATTCTCGCATATTACAGACGAGGTAATAAAAATCACGAAGAGTAATAAATGATTTAATTTATACAGTTATTGTTACGTCATGTTGACGCATGCTCACGTGATATCCTTATGTAACTTAATAAAGTTGGCTGTAATTGTGCAGCAGTGAGGCCTTTATATAAGATGCATCTTTTAAAGAGGATATTTTATTGTATTACTTTAAAATAGGTGACCTCCTAAGTTAAGAACTTAATCTTTGTTCGGAGTTTAAAAAATACACACTAGAACAGTTTTAAAATATAAAATCTGAACGATTGAAATCGCATAAAACGTATAAGGTGCTACAAATAAGACTAGTCCTCTTGTTCTCAAGGTAGTTCTACTTTAAATCGTCATTACTTGACTGTAAGCTTTTTTACTCTTCAAACGATATGTAATGAAGTTGAAGAACAGAAAACTAAAAGTTTCCGAGATAGATAATTAACTACCAAGAGTCTGATTGGATTACGAATTATCCCGTTTAGTATAAGCAAGAGAATTTAAAATCTATCTTCTGAAACTAATCCGGCCATCGTTTTTGTTTGTTTTGCGTCTTAGTTAATATACATAATAATGTAATTAACTCAACAAGTAAACATTTTAACCTGGATAACGTGTTATTTGGGTCAAAATGTTTGCTTGCTCTGAACTACTTTTTAATTAAATACTAGCAAGAGCAGTAAAACGTATGCGGGCAAATTAGTATCTTTATTGCAATGGTAATTCTTTAAATACAGGATTTTTAGAATAATACAAAATAATTCTAATCGAAATCTATAAGTCCACTTGTATTAGGCCTAACATTAGTTAAGCCTATATTCAATAAAGCCGTAAATCAACAGTGTAATTTGTGTACGTTTTTTGCTTTAGTTTAGTCACGGCTAAACTTTACCTTACTTAACACTGGCAGTAAATAAACTTGTAATAGTATCCTAGATCTAACGTTAGACCTTCGTATAAACTTTGATAAGCGTTTCATATCTTATTACGACGGCATCACGAGATGTTTTTGATGATAAGATAGTCTAGAGTGTTGTAAATAAGTATTTGAACTGCGCTTGTCGATAAATCGTTTGCATAAAAACTTCATAATAACATCATAATACTAAAAAAAATGGGTCACCTGATTCACGGCAGAAAGTTTTCCAGCAATAGGGATGTAGGGTTAAAACAATTTTTGTTGGCCTGGATATTTCGAAATTTTTAACTGTGTGAAAAAAAATATATATGTGTGTATAAAAATGCAAAAAATATATTCCTTCTTCCCTCCTTTCTCAAGTATCTTTTATTTTAGGAAATTTCAAAATTTTCTGACGGTTCGTTGCTCTTCTACCATGATTTATAGTTTTTCAGTTCTAACGATCCACTAGTCTTCTATTAGTTCAACACTCCATGTAAAGCAATGTATCTAATATGGTTCCTGTAATTTTTATTTAAAAACCTATGTATTACTTTACCGTGCTATTCTATGCGTTTTCAAATTTGTTTAAGAATTTAAGCTTGAAGTTAAACGTTTAACACGTGTGCAATATGCATTGTGTCGAAAGCCGTATATTTGATTACATCTGGTGAAGATTATTTCACATATTTAGTCATTATGGTTAAAAGATGTTTTCATTGAATATAGTTGTTCATATCTCATACAGAAATATGTCATTATTAAAAAAAAGAAGAAGACATATTTTACTATAATTGTCTCTTTGTCACCGCTAACTAATGGCTTTTTAGAATTTTTGAAAATCTAGGACGTGCATTAAAATTGCTGTTATTACTAATGGTTCAGATAGTAGACGGTAAACGTCGCTGTTCATGATACGGTTTGAAAGATTCAGTGGATGTCTTTAAAGCCTATACTTGTTTTCAAACAGTCTGCTAATATAAATATATTCTCAACCACTAATATGTCTGTTGTATATCAACGAGTCTGAAGAATCCTGACATTGAATGATAGGCCTTCTTGGCCTTTGACATAGAAGATATAGCATAATTGCAATGCATTTTTTTTCTACTTGTTAATAATTTCCTCACTTCACAGATCAAATGCTACAGAGATTCAAACATGAGTGGCTATGATGTGTAGTAGATATAATATCGACAAATATGTCTAGAATAGATTAAACACTGTCAGATGTTTTTTGTTTTATAAAAGTCTCCAGTTTCGCAGGAAAGCATTGTACAAACTACAATCAATTAATTAAATGTGTATTTAAATAACCAACTTATTCAATTACTGTCCAGTCAAAATCCGAAAGTTTGGCCAGAACATGTTCAATGAAGAAAATAAGATCCAAGAACCAATTGACAATGTTATGCACAGCAGGAAGAGGGATATCTGGTAATTTAAAGAAATACTCGATTTTATTCCAACGTCAAATGTCTAATCAACCATTGCCAAGTTTACAAGACAGAAGAACTTCGAATCCCCGTCACACCAAACATGCTCGCCCTTTCAGCCGTGGGTGCGTTATAATGTGACGGTCAATCCCACTATTCGTTGGTAAAAGAGTAGCCCCAGAGTTGGCGGTGGGTGGTGATGACTAGCTGCCTTCCCTCTAGTCTTACACTGCTAAATTAGGGACGGCTAGCGCAGATAGCCCTCGTGTAGCTTTGCGCGAAATTCAAAAACAAACAAACTTCTGAATAAAAAGCAAATTAATTCAAATAAATAATAATTAATAAATTACTGTGTTCAAAGGAATAAATAATGTAGTGTTAAAAACTTTTAATCTATTCTGGAATGTGGCGACTTAGATAAAATTGATTTAAAAAAATAACTATGCACCGACTTAAACCAATCGCGCCGTAACAGTTCCATCTGTTAACATCAAGTATGTCACACCATGAAGACAATAAGTTACGTATCTGTATTATATAGTTCATATTAACCATCTGTTAACATCAAGTATGTCACGCCATGAAGACATTAAGTTACCCTATAACTATTATAGATATTACATTAACCAACTGTTTCAAATTATCACCTTCGAAACATTGACGACCAATATTAATTTTTATATAAACTAAATGTAAATTTCTGGTATATTTATTTGGTTATCCTGGTGAGATCACAGTTTGTCCCAGGCATAAGCATGTCAATCGGTAAGCCTTTTTTTTTTTTTTTTTTTGTAGTTCACGATTTTCAGGAAATGTTTTTATCATGATAATGTATAAAACTAGATGTGAGAGCTCAAAATGACATCATGTAAGAATGGGTCTTTTTTAAGTCGAATGAACTTCCCTGGTAGGATAAAATTCCCAGACGAAACAACAGTTGTGAAACATTAACTTCAAGATTACAATCTCCTAACAATTTGGAAACATTTAGAGTTGTGCGAAATAACTTAAGTTTCAAGTTCGTAAATGAAAAATAAAGGCAACTAAAAAGGATCACGGTTCTCTTAAGGCAAAACTTACCGTTTGATATGCCTATTAAACGGTTGTATTTTTATCAAGTTAAGATCAAACATGATTAGTGCGGACGGAAGGCTAGGCCTAATCCAATTACACTGTCAACCGCTTTATAGCCTTAGTTATTAGTCAGATATTTTAAGAACGTAATTTATTTTACATATAGATAGATAGATAGACAGTTTGATTGAGAGGCATCTGCCAAGAACTATAGATCCACATCCAGCCTATAAGCTATCCCCTATACATATTTCGGAATATAAGCTGACACAAAAAAAAAACGATCTTATGGTCCTATTTTTATGTAATCCACTTTTTAAAGGTGCTTTTAATAACAAAAGTCTGAACGGGAAACTGCAATTCTTGTAAAAAAACGAACGATTTCTATTATTTATGTTAATGCTCGCGATACGAGATTACCAATTAAGAGTTCCTTGGTGGTAAGTTATGGATTAACAACGCAAAAAAACCTGGGTTAGATTTCATGCAGTGGACACAGCAGATAACGCAATGTGGCTTTGCCTAAAACTAATCAACCAACATCTTCTGTTTTCTCACTCAGAAATTCTTATTAATAATTACTAAAGTAGTGTTTCAGGTTAACACTGTGGCTCCGCTCTTGAATGAAAAATACTAGTTTACTGGTTCGCCTGTACTTCTGAATAAGCAGTATTATATAGTTTATATTAAATAGGTAACTTATTGTCTTCATGGCGTGACATACTTGATGTTAACAGGTGGTTAATATAAACTATATAATACTGATAGGTAACTTATTGTCTTCATGGCGTGACATACTTGATGTTAACAGGTGGTTAATATAAACTATATAATACTGATAGGTAACTTATTGTCTTCATGCCATGAAGACAATAAGTTACCTATCAGTATTATATAGTTTA